TCTCCGCAAATATTCGTTGCGTTTATGATGCGTCGTATGTGTGTAAGTATTTGAAGTGTGTGTGTGTGTGTGTGTGTGTGTGTGTGTGTGTGTTTTTTTTTTTTTTTGGATGTATAACGGTGATTTATTTAAAAGAAAGAGAAAAAGGAGTTTACGTTAAGTAGTAATGTAGCAGAAGAAAGAAAATAACAGAATAGTTTACATGGAGTATGTAAGTACATCCACGTCTATTTTTCCCTTTGTTCCATCCCCGCGGAAACCGCCGTTAGGCATTACTTCACGGGGATGGAGGGGTTGGCGTTTTGCGCTTCTTGGGGGCTTGGATGCGGTGGCGTCTTCTTCCAGCCGCATCGTCCGGTCATCACCTTCCGTCCATTCCTTCGTCTCTCAGTCTTATTACGACTGAATAGGCGAAGGAAGCAACCGCGAGCCAGTTCGGCTCGCTCGCGAGCATGAGCCTGGTGGTGTTCTCCGGCGTCATGACCTCGTGGAGCAGGGAGTGTAGACTCTCTCTTTCCTCGCTGAACCTCGGGCATTGGTAAAACACATGCTCCGCGTTCTCGATGGATGAGGGGCAGACCGGGCATTGCGCGCTTTGATTGTGGTCGTAGCGTCGGCTATGGTGTTTGAAGAAGCCGTGCCCGGTCAAGAGCTGCGTGAGGTGGTAGTTCAGCTCTCCGTGCCTCCTCTCGATCCACACCCTGATGTTTGGGATCAGTCGATGCGTCCATCGGGCCTTCGTCGACCGGTCCCATGCTTCCTGCCACTTGATTAGCGTTGCCAAGCGAATTCCTCGTCCTTTGTGTGTGTGTGTGTGTGTGTGTGTGTGTGTGTTGTGCAGGCTAAAACTGCGTTAATAGATGCATGGATCCGCTGGGTTAACAGAACGCGAGTCTTCTGTATGAGAAACTGGGAAAAATTATAGCAGCCGTGGCCTATCAGGGTTTCCGAATGTAATAATTGAAATTTATTTATTAATTGAATTTTTTATTGATATTTGAAGAAAATTCAACTATAAAAATCTATAAATCATGGATTCATTTAATTTGTGCTCAGGCCTTAAACTACGTCGTACTAGACAGTGTTACTACTAGGGCGTTTGTATCATAAAGTACTATTTCCTAGCTTACACGAGCAGCGTAAGAAAATACTTTTGCTGGAAGGATGGAAATAATAATTTTTTTCAATTTCACTAGAATTGAGGGGTAATTATTTAGCATTGTTGGATAATTTTGAATAATCTTAAATTTTTTTAAGGGGAGGTTCTCATCTAGCAACCAAAAAATGACGTGATTTTCGCGATTTTTTTCTCATAAAAAGAAGTTGATAAAGTAATCAAAATTTTTGGTACCTTTTTAGTACTTTACGATACTAGTGGCATAAGTAACACTTTTTGGCACGCCGTAGTTTAGGGTCCTAATAGCTGGGCCGAAAAGTGTCCCCTATGGCCCGAGTATCGTACAACGTTTTATAGCACTGTGCCAAGTTCACATTCATGCCCCCTTTTCCGATGCATAAGTCGCACTTTCTGGTAACGCGAAGTGAGGTTAGCGCACGAGCGTATGCGAGTGCGATGTGAACACAGCGGTGCCAGAATGTGCGACTTATGCCACCGAAAAGCGTGCCATAAATGTGAACTTATGCCACGCAGTGCTATAAAAGTATATTAAGCGTCGAGTAAACGCTTACTCTCAATCTTGACTTTGACTAAAAATTCGAAATCACATACGAATTTTTGGCAAGGGATTCTTGAAAATATAAGCCATTCGAAAATATAAAAAAAAAATTAATATTTTGGACGAGCTTGATGAGAACCTCCCGTTAGATTCGTCAAGACTATATTAATTCATGATAGTTATCTCTAGCTCTATGCAAATCTGTGAATCAATTAAGAAGGAGTAATGTGAAACTAAATAAAATAAAATATTGTTTATTAAGATATGCATATCAAGATATGTTCCATTTTTTTGCTTTTATGACTAAAGCTGTGTGTATATCTGTTGTACAAGTAAACTGAATTATCAGGTTTATAATAAGTACTACTACTTATTGGGCTGTACTGAGTACTAGCAAGAGCAAAAAAAAAGAGTTTTCTCGTCGCGGAATACCATTGGGACTGCGGGAATGAAAGGAAGACGATAGAAAAGGGAGAAAAGGGAAATGTGCGTTGTGGACAGAACTTTGTCCCGAGAGTAATGTATTGGTTAATCACACGATGCTGATCCGCAAAGATGCTCTTTAAACTTCAAACTTGCTGCAGTTACCGCTACAAGTTTTCTGACCATCAAAGGTCCTTTGAGACGTGAGAAGCACACAGCTTACTTCTACACATAGGATCAAAACTCTTTAGTTGGTATATACGCAGCCATACACTTTTCTGTTTTCTCCTTCGCTCTTCAGCTTTCTCTGCTTCTGTGCTCTTCGTCTCATTCCAGAGTTTCAGGTTTGTTACAACTCTACAGAGTTAACCTCACATCTTGTATAACTATTATGTTTCAGAAATCGTGCCTCTCTCTCTCTCTCTCTCTCTCTCTCTCTCTCTCTCTCTCGTGTTTTCTGAGTAGTTTGCTCGAGAAAGCCATAGTAGGATGCCTCCGTTGTTCCAGGCAGGTGAAAATTAGTCGGTCTATTAGCGTGATTGCGGTTATTATATTATTAGTGTTCACATTCTATAGCTTGCATTAGCAAGTTTGATATAATTGTAAGAGAATAGCGTGCAAGTTCTAACGAAATGCGATTCGTATCCTCTACACAGAAGAGAATGAAGGTGCTTTGTAATTTGCTCAACAAATTTCTATACATGTAAATCTTGATAATAATCTTAACTCGTTGGTTGAAAATGAAATTTAATTTTTAAGGAGTCTGATAAATATTCTACATCATATTTAAAAATTTTCTTTTTAATTTTTTAATTATTCTTAACTTTAATAGACTAGTAAGTGATCGATCATATTATTCAAGAAGGGAAAGATACCTTAAATATCAAAAAAATTAGTTTTTTTTTAAGTATTATTTTCTCATGAAAACGGCTGTATATTAATATAAAATCAAAATTTTGGAATTTAAAAAAATGCTCTAGAAAGGGGACAAGAATCCTTCTCGAAAGTACAATGCATTTTTTCTGATTTCAGCCCTTAAAACATAAGTTAAAGGATAAATAGCTACATTAATAATATTATAAAACATTTCAAATAGATTCACGGTGGTGGCATCAGGTCAAACGTGAATCTTTCTTTTTCTTATGAGTTTGTATTCAAGTGAATATTTGAAATAAATAACTCTGGATCTTCAAATATTAAAATCATATTCTAACATCCGTGTAAGAGCTTTGGGATAGTGAGTACGACCGATAGAAATACAGAAAGAGAAGCAGAGAGATAGCACGAGTAAGGAATATTCTTTGGCCACTGAAGCTTAGATAATCTAACGAAAGGCTCACCTTGTTGCTGTCATATTCTACTTCCAGTCGTAGTACTCTATGCGTTGATACATACATACGCAGTGTTGTAGCATAGTAATGTCGCAAAAGCAACGTGTAGCGCGCGAGTCGTCTTGTTTGTTCACGTGGAAATCTAAACCCTCTTTTTATGCCTCTCTTCCTCTGTTTCTCCTTGCGTTTACATATGGTTGTGTGTAAGTGAGAGAGAAGGAGAGAGAGAGAGAGAGAGAGAGAGAGAGAGAGAGAGAGAGAGAGAGAGACGAGATAGAGAAAATTCGTCTGGGACCTCAGCCAAGAGCATGTCCTTTATAGAATTCGTAATGCTACGCACGGCCGTTTTTTTCTATACATGGCGTATGTGTTGCCTTTACTGCTCTTTTTTTCTTGAGTATGTAGGGCTCAAAGAAGGGGTAGGATGTGATAAGAGTAGAAGTCGGGGGCTCTCGAAACGTTCATTGCTCATACATAGATATACAAGCAAAGTGCTGAACTGCAGGATAATTGAATTGGACATGCCAACTGATTGGAACGAGCTATCTTACAGCTAGAGAAACATCGTTTTGTTGATCGCTTTAGGTATTAAGGTTCAAACGAGTGTAGATGGAATTAGTCAAGCAGCCCGAGGCGCGCAGTTTGTGCGATAATTTTATTACGTAGCGCTTCTACCTCTACTTATGTTGCGACAATTTTTTCGGGAAAGATTCGAACGCCACAGTAAATTTATTTTTATTTCCTCTTTTTTAATCAGCTTCTATGAGCATCCTCTTCCACAGAATTTTTCAGCTATCATTGAAAAATTCTTACTCTATCTATTTTCAGCACCAATTCTCTTGCAAAGGTGACAATTTATCGCTGTGTCAATGTTGTAGAAAGTTATTTTATTTCTGCTTACTGCTTTTCACAAAAGGTTGAAGACTTACTGAATCAATCGAGCATAAGAATTAAAACTTCAAATTTGCAGTAGTCATGCGTGTAAATAGTACATTACGCAACTGTGGCGGGGGGGTTATCTTGCAAGAGTGTCAGTTAGCAGCCCGAGCGTAGTTAGGGTTGCATTGACACGAGTGCAAGATTGACAACCGCCTCAGTTACGTATAGTTTTTTTACGTATAGAGTGCAGGAAGTCGATTTGAAGATTTTCCCGCACGACGCGGCGTGCGGGAAATAGCACTTCCCGTACGCTGTGATGAAAATCAAATTGCAGTTTATCGTCATTTGTAGTTTCCATTTATTTTTTATTTAATGTTGGGCTATACTCAATCTTTTTATCCATTCCGCGTAATTGTCAATTCTAAAAAATGCAACGAACTGTAAATTTTGTCTTTTAAAAGTGGAACATGGATACATGCAGAATGTATGAGTTTATTTTTAATAGTACAATAAAAATTTTTGTGCGATGTATACTTAAGCTATAAACGGCTTATTGTGATTTATCTATGTACGGCGTTTTTTAGCCGCAATATGTTGCGATTAGAGAGGTGAAAATTGATTATGTAAAATCATAAAAGTTCAATTGTTTCGATGATTTTAATTTTTGTTAAGTTACAAATAAAACACTCACCTCTGTGTCTGTTGGTCTGCTTGTCAAACATCAGCATGGCGTCTTCAATCTGACAAAAAGAAGATTTATTGTTTTTAAATGCTTGAAAAATAAATAATATATTCTTTAAAATTACTTATTTGTTTAAGGAAAATCCACTCAAGAGATATAAAAATTGTAAATTTATCTTTATAAAATATTCAAGTATACAAATATACACAATGAAAGAAGAAAAGGAATTTTGCGAGGAAAAAACCTGCGAGGCGAAAGAGAAAAATATTATAGTACAGTAATGAATGCATAAAAATTGTTACAACTAGAATAACTTTGTAGAAAACAAATTTTAAAGGCAATTGGGTGAATTTGCTTCCATCACATGGTGTATTTTCTTCATAATTCAATTTATGAAAACTGCAGAATGTGGCACATGGGGAGGTCATAAAAATTAACTGACTGTGTTAGTCTCTTCTAACTGTACTTTACTTCGTTGCGTCTCTAACTTGCAAATTAAAAGTCTCGGTGTGTAATCCCCGTTGAGCATAGCACAAGCAAGGATAGGGTAAAAGCAAAGAGGCAAAATAGAAGACAGGCAGCGTCACTTCACGTAATGTAATTATCTTGCAAGTACGTCGTAACGTCACCTGATAAATTTTCTATGTTAACATCCCCTCTCAAGGGCCAACACTATCTTTTCAAGCTTACTCTCACCTACATCTCCCCTATGTATATTGCGCTGCTAGAGCGTTTCATATAATTCGAGTATATGATAAGGTCATTTTGAAATAATTAATAATAACAATAACAACAACAACAACAACAGCAATAATAATAATAATAATAATAATAATAATAATAATAATAATAATAATAATATCGGTAAAATATATTATATAATTGAACGAATTTAACGCAATAGTTTCTCATATTTTTAAAGTCGAATTGCACGGTGATCCATTTCTTTACTCATAATTTTTCAAATATAATTGAATTATTACAATTATAACTGTTCTTTGTATATATGTCATTTTTCTCTGTTAAATTTTTCAAGGCTAAAAAAAGAGTAAATATGATGCTCCTCAGAGAGCAATAGAAATTGAACTTGAAATAAGCTTTATAGACGCATAGGTTACGTAAATAAATAAAAACTTATATAAAATTATAATTTAACAAATTAAATTATAATTTTATATAAGTTTTTATTTATTTGTTTATTAATTAGTGTAAGAATTGAATGAGATGCAAACTTTCCTAGCTCGAGAATACTATTTAGTCTTAAATTCCAATCTCATTTGCCCTTGGGCATTTCGAACTGGTTCAGGTATAGTACTAATTGCAAAGGGATGCTGCTGGTCAAAAATGTAGGTCATAACTTAACCACTTTCACCGTAACTCGATTCTGCAAAAAAGTAAAGATATCAACATCGAATGGTACTTGCACATAATTCCTTTTACATTGAAAAAAAATCTTATGCGAGTTGCTCTCATGATGTTGAAAGTTGCCTTCATTTGCGTTGAGAATATATTTTTATATTTCATTATCTAACAAGTCGGAGTTAGTTAGTTGAAAAACTTGATGCAACGAGTTCGTAAAAATTAATACGTTTCGAGTTCGCATATGCACGTCATGCGTTTATGAATGTATTTAAAAGCGTAATGGCACGCAAGTTTAATTAGCAAAGTCAATTGAGCCCTCTAATGAAACTTTCCTGTTGAATGGTACGAAATACCAGTACTTTTGTATAGACCGATATCATTGTTTTATACAACACAGGTACATATATTTTAAGTGCGTTGGCGACAATCTAATTGTTTGCCGTATCGATCTCTGAAGTCCTTATTAATAATTTTGAATTTTAGTCGGGTGTGTTGGTTATCAAATGCAGTCATACGATGTATAAAGACGGCGGGTTAATTGAAAGGTAGGCTTGCTGTTATGCAGCAGTTGCAGTTTTCCTTGCTTGTACGACGTGCAGCCTTGGATACTTTGATTGGATATGAATATGTAACACTATTTCACTGAATGGCTGATATCTATGAACCAACTGACTTGAAACTATGTACATGGGATCTACGTACTTATGCGCTTGTTATACAAAAATGAAAAAATTCAATTAAAACAAGCTTCAATTTCACATAAACAAGCAACCCTTATGAGCTGATCGTATGTAAACAAAAATACTTCGATCCGCACATAAATGATTCACAAATGCAATATACGTTTGTATAGCATATAACAAAATACTTAAACTACATAACAAAAAACATAACAAAAAACATAACAAAATACATAAGAAAAAAACTTGCCCGCAGTTATAGCAAGTAGGTCTAAAAGCGTGGTAAATCTTTGTGCGCGAAGCGGTTGAAAAACGAGTGAGCACGTAGAAAAATAACGACCGATCGTTGCTATTCAGACCGAATAAAAAATGCGCCCCTTTACTAGAAGGCTATAGGTATAACATAATACAACTAGCGTATGTATAGCATTGGCACTCTTCTATCTTGCTTTTTTCTTAGGTTTTTCGTATAAGTTACAAGGTTCGAGCGTGTATTTCTTCACATACATACTCGCATCCACATATGCACGTACAGACTCACGCATGAACGATTGCAGAGGTCGATTTTTCGAAAGAGAATTGAACCAAGATACAAGCTTGAAGGTAGTACTAGCCAGCTTTCATTTCTTTTCTTCGCACAGGTACACTTGGACGAAAAAGAAAGATTTTTTTTTGATTGCCTAGCTAGCTTCTTCCAAGATAAAAAGTTCTGACCCTCCCTCGACCCTTCTGCCTGATATCTGCTACTGACTATACGCATGTATGAAGGAACAGAAAAAGAGTTATTGAATAGAATTCATAAATTTACTTATGTGCAAGTTTATTTATTATTCCTCTTTGCAACTGAACTTATATACATGCTACATTATAAAGTTGCTTTGATGAATTCATGACGCAAAACGATGAAGAAATTTGATATTAATGATACAATTTGATCTGTTTTTCTCATCACTCGAATTTATACACAATTTTTAGCATCTCTGAAATTGAATCAATTGAAATATACAAAAAATATTACAAAAAATAAACGTTAACAAAAGGAAAAAATAAGAAAGCTAATGTCCAAGTTTCTCAAGGAATTACTTTAAAGAAGTCTAACGTTCACTAGAAACCTTATCAAAAATTCGAATTGAAAAACTGAAAGAGTTTTTGCAAAAAAAATAGCAGTAGCAGTTTCTGCGGTTGAAAATAATAAAAAAAATAATTTTAATGGGGTAATTTTCCAATTCCGTTCCATTTTCTAATGGCTACTAAATTTACAATTAATTTCTGAATTCTATCTTAATTAGACCATACGCAAAAGGCTGTTGAGTCAAATTTGTAAGCTAAAAGTAAGTTTCGTCATCATTCCACAATAGTAGATTACGCAACGGGGGTGGGAGGATGTCTATCTTGCTTAAGCCGCTCATTGCACTCGGGTCAATTTATGGCGCTATTTTGAGCAACTTATATCTCGACAAAGGGAAGCCTCAACGTGAACTTAACACAATGTTATAAAAAAGTATACGTTAATAGTGACTCGAATAGCCCATTCTTTTTTACTCAATTTATTCAAATATATTGAAATTACGAAACAATGTTTTTTTGTCGGGCAAGTATCAAAAACCGCACTGACGAAACGTCGAAAATAAGTTGTAATTCAAATGTAATTAAACAAGTCAATTCGTTGTTTGTTTAAATTAATTGATATGAGGAATATTATAATTGTAATTTTTGGGTCAAATGGTTTTTGAAGATAGAAGAGAAGTAATTGATAGAATTTTAATTCAATTACTCTTTCAATGTTGTAATTTGAAGCGGCAAAACATGTTTTGACTATTGAAAATAGGAAAACAGAGAGAGAGAGAGAGAGAGAGAGAGAGAGATTGATTGATTGATTGATTAAGGTTTATTGGGGCCTTGAGGTATAACCACATGAGGCCCAACGGCAGTTCAAACAGACAGTAGTAGTACAATTACTAATAATAATGTAAAACAGAAAACATTGTAAGTACAGACGGTACAGCACATTTAGCAAACATAGATGGATGATCCATCGCGCAATTTTTGGAATAGCCGAGTTTAGTTTAGATTTAGTTTAAATTTAGCACTTGAGTTAATTCAGGCGGGACAGGGGCAAGGCCCTCCGTCCTGCATCGCTGCAGCCACTCCGCCTTCTCGTGCTGCATAAGGAAGGAGGTGTGAAGGGACTTGAAACGAGGCGGTGGGGAGAGGATGTTTGTAATAAAAGGGAGATTATTGATTGATATGGCAGATGAAAATGCAAATGAGCGTTCCAATGATGCAGTGCGAGGCGCTTTGTAGTAGAGCACCGGTGGTCGGCGTCGTGCGGACTGCCTGATTTCCTCGGTCTCTGTGGGCACTCCGATGACTCGAAAGCCTTTTCTGAGATAGCCCGGCGAAGCATCTCTGATAATGCGAGATGCTAGGGAGCAGTTGATGACTTCTCTGCGTCCCCCAGCCGAGAGCCATCCCAGAGCCAGTCGATAGGGAGTGACATGAGCCGTCCTGGGAATCGTGCCGTATATGAAACGGATGCAAGCGTTCTGCAGGCGCTGAAGAGCCAAAACCTGCTCCTTTGTTAGGTCCGTCAGCAGTGGTGCTGGGTAGTCTAGGTGAGGTGTCACCAGAGCGCCCACCAGCATCAAACGCATCTTGCGAGAGAGGGCGTGCTTATAAAAACGCAAAGCATAAAGAGAGTGATGAACTTTCGTGGTCATGAAGGCAATCTGTCGATCCCAGTTGAATTTTTCTGACAAGAAGACCCCCAGGGTCTTGATCTCCTCTGAAAAAGGCACAATTTCGCCACCGATATCCAGTCCAGCAGGCAACGACGGCCTCAGCGAGGTCACGAAGCTCAAGCTTCCAATGAGCATGACTTTTGTTTTTGCGGCGTTGCACGTAAGTCCATTTATTGTGGCCCACTCACAGACCGCATTAGCGTCTCTAGTTACGTTTCGCAGGAGATCGCGGATATTAGCCGGCAATCCATGCGAGATGATCTGAGTATCATCCG